GTGGCAAGGAACATAACAGTCACTCTTTTATAGCTGGCCTCGTTGGAGGATATTACGTTTTTGGAGAAAATAACAATATCAATCAACAGGTAATACTGTCGTTCGACACCGTACATTGACATTCCACGATATATCTCAAAAATATTCACACTCTCATAGATTGTACTTTACGTCTTCGCGAGAATTATGATTGGCTTGGCAAAACTACCAGTGGCACGCAAGACAATCGAAGAACCCAAAAATACATTTCCGGTGTTTGCTGCTGTTGTATGGGGACTTGTTATGTGGCTTTTTCGCCATGATCGTGACGTTTTACAGCCGTCTTTACAGGCATCCATGCAATACTTATATTTAGATTCGGATCATTGGTCCACGCTCAAGAATTTCCTGTGGCATAATATATAATAAAAAATAAACGCGAAAAAAAGGAACATTATTCTATTTAATAAAAGATCAATTGCGTTAGATAGTAATTTCGAATCTTTCTTTTCCGGGTATTTATAAATTTTCTCCGTTCATGATTTGTGAATTAGGAGTATACCCGAATGTCGGAAAAGACATTAGTTCATGGAGTAAGTAATAGATAATGCGTGAAGATTTTTTAAGAGGAAATTTTTTTACTTGAATTTTTAATCCTTATTTTTTTTAAGGTTGGATTTGAGACTCTCTAATGAACGCACTAAATTCTTCGGATTCCTTTCCAACAAGTCGACCATTCTTGCTGCTGGTGAAGACAAAACACCAACCATCTCCGATCCCAGTTGTTTTTTGCCGGGTAAATTAGCCACACGTTTAATGTCATCTAAATTTAATAAACTATTATCCAATTTGCCGCCAATTAACAATAATTTCTTTTGTTTATTGAGAATATTCAAAATGTCGGAGACTATTTTCGGATTTTCCTCATCGCACACGTTGGAGGAAATCATACAGACCGGACCAATAATTAGGGGTGCCATATTTTGATAAATAATAGATTGCTTTATAACAGCACGTAGAATTGAACCACGTGTAGCTGTTAGATCGGCTCCAATGTTTCTTAGTTCCCGACGGACTACTGTTTGTTCTTGCACGTTAAGATTATTGTGCTGTGCCATAAACAGTAATCGGTTGAAATGAAGTTGTGAATAGTATAGATTAAAAAGATAAACTGCTTGTGAAGTAAAATCGTGCCCAAATTTCGTTTTTTCCCTCTGAGGAGCATGCGGTGGCTCCTTTTTGAGTTTGATGATAGAACCATCGGTAAATTTTTCGGATTTAGTCGAATCTAGATTTAACGTAATAGGTCATTTTCTTTATTTAAAACGTTCGTTTAAAAAAAAAAAAAAAATTCAGAGAAGTACATGTTCGAGTTTTTAGTAAAGAACGCGTCAAAGTCTTACTCTGAAAAACAGAGAAGCCTAGAAAAGAATTAATTGATGTGTAAGGACGATTCACATGGTTATGTCTAAAAATTAAGAAACAAATACCTCTCAAAACAGTCATTTTGTCATTCCTTCAAGAAAAGATCAGCAAATCTCGCGATTTTAAATGCGTGATCATCCGGCATTGTCACATGAATTAAAATTACCTCGTTTATTACGTAATTAGTTTGGCTCGCTTCACCGAGAATTCAAAAAATGAAGTAAGTTAAATAAACTTTCTTCTTTTATATTTAATATATTTCACGTAGTCAACACAATTTTACACACTTCAGATTCAACATAGACAACCTGCCAGTGATTTTCCCGTATGATAAAATATATCCAGAGCAATATGCTTATATGGTAGATTTGAAGAAGGCAATTGACGCCGGGGTAAGTTTCTTATTAATATCGCTGTGATTGGTTAACTGCGTCCCCCCAAAACTCAGAATTTTCATGAATCTCTTATAGGGTCACTGTCTCCTGGAAATGCCTTCGGGTACCGGAAAGACAGTGTCACTATTGTCTTTAATTGTGGCATATCAAATGGTACCGTCTGCACTATTGATTCACCAAAAACATAAAATTATTATAGACAACACATTATATCTTCCAAAAATTCTTTAAAGCATTTCCCAGAAAAACGAAAATTGGTTTATTGCTCGCGAACAGTACCGGAAATAGAGAAAGCCTTGGCAGAATTACAAAATCTCATGAATTATCGTAAATCTTGTGGACAAAACGAAAGATTTTTGGGGATCGGATTGACTTCTCGAAAGAATCTTTGTATACATCCGAAGGTATCTTAATTTTGGATCAGATGACCTAATTTTAAGTAAATCACTCTGCTAATCACATGATCTTTTTTTAATAAGGTTAGTCAGGAAAAATGGGGTAAAGTGCTGGATGCTAAGTGTAGAAATCTTACCGCATCCTGGGTGCGAGAGAAAGCAAAAGTATATACAAGAGATGAGGTTCCGCTGTGCGACTTTTATGAGGTGAATAAATCTTGATGTGAAGCTTGTAGATTTAATTCAATTTTATAATGATTATTATATTATATTATATTATACATTCCAGCAACTAGAACAGACTGACTTAGCAGAATTATTGCCAGATGGTGTGTATACATTAGAAGATTTGCGGGATTTTGGCAAAGAGAATGAATATTGTCCTTATTATTTGTCAAGAAGATTGGTACCTTTTTCATTTTTTCATATGTTATATTAATTTTCTTGTTTAACTTAGAAAAACCGAAAAAATTTTTTCTTATATTATAGATTCCCTTCGCCAATGTGGTGATATACAGTTATCATTATTTGCTGGATCCAAAAGTGGCCGAGTTGGTCTCAAAGGAATTGTCGAAAGATTGTATAGTTGTATTTGATGAGGCACATAATATAGGTTTGTGATCTTAACTTTTTTATTTATGAACTTTTTCTGTGCACAAGAAATTTATCTGTTATCACATTGATTTTGATATTTAGACAATGTATGCATTGAATCGTTGAGTATTGACCTAACGAAGCCAAATTTGGACGCGAGTGCAAGGAGTATAGCCGAACTCGCAAAAAAAGTTGAGGAGTACGATCATCATAATAACATTTAAATAATGACTTATGTACATTGTATTCAACAAAGTTTCTTTTTATAATCACTTTGAACGATTGATTCACCCCAGATTCAAAGAACGAGATAAGGGCAAATTGGATGAAGAGTATAAAAAATTGGTGGAAGGTTTATCATCTGTTTCTTTATTGTGACATGTAAAGTATAACTGAAAGAAATATTGCTAACGTTCGTATAATCTGACTGAAGGATTGAAGGCTGCCAGTCAAGCCCGTGACGAGGATATTTTCATGGCGAATCCCGGTAACAATCGATTACTATCTGAGATTCAAAGCTGATCTGTCTTTTATATATTAACCAAAAATTCCTTAAATTTAAGTTTTGCCTGATGATTTGCTGAAAGAAGCAGTACCAGGAAACATTCGTAAAGCAGAACATTTTGTAACTTTTATGCGGCGTTTCGTGGAGTATCTTAAAGTATGCATGCATAAAATTTTGCTGAATAACGAAATGAATATTAAAATACTACGCGTTTTCATTTTTGTTCACTTGTTATATCAGACTAGAATGCGAGCTCAACATGTGGTGGCTGAGACACCTTTGTCATTTCTTCAAAATTGCAAGGAGGTAACTTACATTGAACGAAAGCCTCTAAGGTAGCTTGTGCCTTAATTATTGTCTGTCTGGGTTATAATTATTTGATAACCCATTTTAACCTTATTTTTATTTACCAAGGTTTTGCAGCCAAAGGTTAACGTCTTTGGTTCGAACCTTGGAATTAACCGATCTAGATGAATATTATGCGTTACACAAAGTAGCGGCATTTGCTACACTCGTTGCCACTTATGATACTGGTATGATGAATAATCTTTATTTTCTACTTTGATAGGATATTTTTTCACGATGCTTTCATTTCAGGGTTTTTGTTAATCTTGGAGCCATTTGAAAACGATGTTATACCTAATCCCATACTCCACCATACGTTAGTACTTCTATTGGTCATTTAGCCTGAGGTCAATCCGTTCGAAATATCCATTATTTATTTCAAATTCCGGGCAATTTTATAGATGCCTTGATGCATCGATAGCAATTAGACCTATCTTTCAAAGGTTCAAAACAGTAGTAATCACATCTGGCACATTGTCGCCTCTTGATATGTACCCCAAGATACTTTCTTTCACGGCAGCCGTTCAAGAAAGTTACTCTATGACTTTGACGAGGAATTGTTTCCTGCCCTTGGTGTGAAGAATTTATTGTTTTTATGTTAACAATAATTTGCCATAATTGTTATCTAATTTTTTTATTTCTTTTATACGCGTATGCGATCATCCAGATAATTACAAGAGGCAGTGATCAAGTCGCTATAAGTTCAAAATTTGAAGTCAGAAATGATCCGGCGGTAGTTCGTAATTTTGGACAAATCCTTGTAGAGTTTTCCAAAATTGTGCCCGATGGGATAGTCGCGTTCTTTCCAAGTTATTTATATATGGAGTCGATAGTTGCCATGTGGAATGATATGGTAATATATTTTCTTCTGGTTCAAATTTTTATTTTATGTGTTTACATGTCAATTTTGTTTTTTTTTAGGGAATTCTTAACGAAGCATGGAAACATAAGCTAATATTTGTTGAAACTCCAGATGCCGCCGAAACGAGTTATGCATTAGAAAATTATAGAAAGGTATAATTGTTATTATTATGAAAATTGTTTTTTTTTATAATACAATATTTATAAGTATTAATAAATCAGGCTTGTGATAATGGCCGCGGAGCTGTGTTATTATCAGTCGCACGTGGTAAAGTATCCGAGGGTGTAGATTTCGATCATAACTATGGTCGCGCAGTTATCATGTTTGGTGTTCCCTATCAATATACGGAAAGCAGGATATTGAAGGTATGTTTTGTGAGGTGAAAAAAAATTTTTTTTTTGATGTTTTCTGACAGAAGACATTTAATTTCAGGCTAGACTGGAATTTCTAAGGGAAACTTATAAAATTCGAGAGAACGATTTTCTAACGTTTGATGCGATACGTCATGCTGCCCAATGTGTTGGAAGAGTACTGAGAGGAAAGACAGATTACGGACTTATGATTTTCGCCGATAAAGTAAGATCTCTGGCATTTAACGTGGCTTAAATAAGGATAACGATTGATTACAATTTTCTTATCATTTTTGAACAGAGGTTTGGTAGAGTAGATAAACGTAACAAATTACCAAAATGGATAAATCAGTATATAACCGAGACTGCAACAAACTTGTCGACTGACATGTCCTTAGTAATAGCGAAAAAATTTCTGCGGTCTATGGCACAACCATTCGAACATGATCAAATGGGAATTAGTTTATGGTCACTAGAAAATATTGAATCTAAGCAACGTGGAAATGATCGGAATGGTGTTAACAATGGAACTTCGAATATACGAATGGATATTCAATAAAATACCAGTTGATATTTGAACCTTAATCAATCCGCCATACGTTTACATTTAGTCTAGAATTTGTATGTATAATCGTTAATAATTCTGTCAAAAATGCTACTGGTAGTTTCGAAAAATTAATTTAATGCGAGGAAAATGTAAAAAAAGTAGAATTTTGCAAATTTTGAATCCAATTTAAAAATAATTATTTTTTCATCTAATAATTCGTCTTAATTCTATAAAAATTTTTGGATATATGAATTATTTTCTTAATACAATGTACTAAGCTTCACTAAATACCATGATATATTTTTATTTGAAATTTTATTAAGTTTTATAAAACAATTTTTTTTGATTTGTTTTTTTATTAACATCAGATATTAAAAATAGATTATATAAATAATCAAATACAATGTGTAACAAAAATAATTGGACTGATATTTTTTATTATAATTTAATAAATAATAATTTAATTGAGATAAAACTTTAAATATACATGTATATATTTTATAATCTAATCAATAAATATTAAAGTTTTATTAATAATTTTATTTGAAAATATTGATTTAAAATCAAAAAAAAACTTTCAAAAAATGTATTATAAATTTTATATATAAATTTATATATATAATATGAATTGAAATTAAAATTTTACTATAGAAAAATTTTTTAAAAAAATGGAATATAAACATAAAGAAAAATTTTAAGTTTATATACAACAAAAAAAACTCTTTTCCATATACAATATTTTTCTTAAAAAATTTTTTTATAGTAATTTTTTTCAAAATTAAAGAAACAGTTTTTTTATCTTTATCTTTTAATAACTAAAAGTCCTTTACACTTCTTTTACCTTTATTACAGGAATTTCAAAAAACCTAGAAAAGTATACTGATATATTGGGATGAAACTTTTGATCAGGAAAAAACAAATTTGGGGCCTTGCTTTTTTCTTGAATTGCATAAAGAAAGACCTGTGGTAATTACTTTTCTACAAACTTTTCTTAGAGTTTTTTTTCCATTTATACTTCTTATTAAAAAACAATTTTTATTAAATAATCATTTTCTGTTTTTAAAATATTGTTCTTTAATTCAAAAAATCAAATCTTATATTAATATTATTTATATTATGGCCACTCTTCCCGCTGATCTCTTGACCAACATTCCAAAACGGCGTTCAGACTAAAGCATGTCTTTATTCTTAACAAAACCTATACAC